CTAATTCATTAGCCGTATCTCTAGCCAATCCTCCATTGTAGGTCATTCGCTCCTTGTAAAACAAACGACATTGTGCTAACTAGAACTACACACAAACACAATTAGTTCGCACATAACAGTAATATATATCCAATAATAGGATTTGTTTGAATAACTATTGTTAAATGATATTACTGCTAAGATTTGTAATAAATTGTGAAACTAGAAGAATAGCTTTTGTCTTATTGATTTACTTTCTCTTTACACTGGTAATAAGGATCGAAATTCAATACCAATCAATGTAGATAATTATGTAACAATTTCATCATCATTATTAACAGACGAAAGACGTTCACTGCTGGACAAAATACTCCCCCTTAGTCCTCCACGTCGAATGTCAACTCGCCACCTGCATCCACTGGCTCCCCGGGTTTTTTTTTTTTTAAGGGATGAAAATCATCGAATGACTGCTCTCGCCTGGGTGAGGCGGGAGGGAGTGTCAGACTCTTACTGACTAAAAACCGCCCCGTTCCTTCTCCTGCACGTCGAGCCGGAGCCCCGGTTACCCGTTAGGTTCTCCGCGACTCCGAATTGGCATCGGCCCTATTGGGCCCCATCTGTGGTGGTCTGAAGGCTCTTTGTGGCAACGCGCCGTACGCTCGGGTCTGTTTCTGGTCGGACGGGGAGCCACCCATGCTCGCCGTCCGCAGGCCCGCGCTTACGGTGGCCGGAGATCGTCTCGCGATCCCGACGCCCGGTGTGTTCTTCGCGATGGCTGGGTTGCGAGGAGGCAGCGCTTCGCTGCCTCACGCGTCCCGCCTCCTCCTTAGCTAGCATAAAGATTTCTAGTAAATAAATACTCTAGTCATTTTTACCTAAACGACTATTGTTATAAAACAAATTTATCTGTCTGGCAGAGGTGCACATTACGGCACTTAATGCCACTGTACAATGTAACACACACTTTTCACTACTTATGTTATGAGTCCCATGTAATAGGGGTCGAGCTTATTGCCATTTATAACGAGCACAATAACAGACTCCGTGCAGCTACTAAATTTTTTTTTAAACCCAGTAATACTTTGCCTGATTCGGGAATCAAACCTGAGACCCCTTGGCTAGCAGTCGCACTAGCGCTCACTTGGCCGACGAGGCAGTGACAAACATTAAATAGAGTTAATTGTAAACAAATATCATTATGTACGTCATCAGTCAAACCCAGGTGTTAATTACTCACGCTTTAATTAACATTATTATCACCTATCACATATATTACACCAAAACCAGCACATCAATATATCATACTTTTATAAACTTTTTCAACTTTATCGATTCGTAATAAAGTCAAAATTCCATTGACAGCTTCGGGCAACTTGGTGTGCGTGTCTCTGTATTTGTTTACACACAACTATGAGGTCATATAATCTCATGTAATTCGCTCCCATATTAGCGGCTTAATTATTTCATACAATAATTACTTTTTATGAGGTTAATTATAATTGTGATAAGGCTCATAATGCCTTGTAAGGTGAATGAGAACTGTCTGTTAAGAGATGATGATATATAATTGTTGGGAGAAATATTTGTACCTAGAGGGAACGGCTGAGTAAACTGCGTTTGTTGTCTTCGCTACTGTAATCGCGGTGTCGTAAAGCCTCCCATAACCGCTGCATCTTCTGTATCCATTCCAGGATCATTCCAGGATCTATAGTAGATACAACCATGAAAACACCGGAACACTGAAGTCCGGCGCGTCTCAGGGACATGAGTAACTGTCTTGGTTCCCGCAACGAAGTGAATCAGAAGATATATAAGAGGAGAAGAAGAAAAAACTATAGTTTCCACTTCCCTCGGTGAATTACTGCAGGAGACAGAATGAATTAAGCCTAAGGGCACAAAAAAGAGACTGTACAACTGTTTAAATATTGATTATCAAACTTCCCATACAACCTTTTAAAAGATGACAACTTGATATTATTATAAATATATCTTTTAAACGTGTCATATAAAACGTCTGACATACATATTAGGAACAATTTATGTAATTGGAAAGCAATTACAGATAGAGTCAGGAAACAGGACATAGTCGGCATGTGAGCGCCCCGGCGCCGGCGCATACCTGACGCAATACCAACACGATTTGTACCAGTATATAGAGTACTTAGTAATTATAGCTCAGATGTAAAATATTGGTTTTATTTAGGATTCTAAAGAGATAGAATTGATGTTGCAAAGGTGGTTTGAAAGGTAGATAATAACTATAGGTCAGGGATGGCGAACCTTTACGTATTAACGTGTGTTTTTTTACAAATATGTGGTGAGGTCGTAAATGTGTCATTATTTCTACTTTTCATACTACTTATTACCGAGCAATAGTAGTAGTTAACTTTATTACTTTACAGTAGGCCTGATAAATAAAATGAGAAGAGGTAAGTAAGGTAAGTAAGCTGTCACCGTAGTCTTAGTACACCTGAAAACTAGACAAGTCACAAATGCGCTGTCGATTTATAATAATCATCGTTTTATTTGTTTCATTGCCGCGCCCAAAATATTGTGTTCCGTGCCATCAATGGATCGATAGAGGTTACAAGTCATAAGTTCTAAGGTATACAACTGCTTATTAGGATTGTAGTAACCAAAATTAAAAATCAACAGGGAAAGTGATATGACTGAAAAGAATACAAAAAATAGTGATTACTTTTCACTTACCTTGAAATAGATAACGCAAGTTCATGGATGTCATTGCGGCTGATTTCACAGACCTAAATCGGTCCAACCAAAACCTTAATCATAATAACCTTTCTAAATCCCGGTCCAGCAATGACCCAACACGTTCAAAATTATTAAACCACTTTACAAAAGAGAATGCATACACTACACTACAATATACATACAAATAAACGTCAAAATGAATCACAAATGCAACGCTAAATTATAGAGAGCAGAGCTAATTTCAATAATTAAACACTTGCAAATGACCAGAGTTCAACATTAATTTAGTTTACAATAATGCATCGTAATACGTTTGTCTTTGAGTGCATTTTGCATAATCTTTATCTAAGTGGAGCATCGCGCGAGTGAACGACCTTGAAGATGAAATGTTTGAAGCCTGCTTAGATGATGAGGGGCGGGCGATTGCCATTTGTTTTTTTTTCTAAGCTTCTTGTTTTGTACGCAATAGTTAGTCTGGTCTGTAATAGTTTTAATCCTAATTACAGCGCTTATGCATACACTTATTTCTTTAAAAGGCTACCCAAAATCTTTACATTGATACCATTCCAATACAGGTCACACTAAAAATCAAACCAAATTTTAGTTTATCTTCATCGTCATCGGCATCACGCTTTTATTCCCGAAAGCGTAAGCAGAGGTTCACATTACGACACTTAAAGCCACTGTACAATGTAAAACCCACTTTTCACTATTAATGTTACGAGTCCCATGTAATGGGAGGTGAGCCTATTGCCATATACCGGGCACATTTCCAGACTCCGTACTACTACTTAGAATTAAAAAAAACCAGTGATACTTTGCCCTATCTGGGAATCGAACACGAGATCCCTTGCCCGGCAGTCCCACTTGCGAACACTCGGCCAACGAATAGTAGTTTATCTTCCTAATAATGAAAAGTATATCTATACCTCTGCTCTTCTGTCGTGTTTAAAGTATCACAAGGGCCGCCTAACCGTCTAAGTGACCTAAGTTTGCCAAATCAGGACACATGGACAGTAGTGCTCTCTAATAAACTTGAACCTTTTTTTATGGGATAAACCGGTAAACGAGCAGACGGATCCTCTGATGGTAAGCAATCGGCGTCGCCCATGGCCCCTGAAACACCAGAGGCGTTACAAGTGCGTTGCCAGCCTTTTGGGGATTAGGAGTTTGAGGATCGTTGGGGATTCAGTAATTGAGGAGATTGGGGAAGGGGAGGGTATTTGGGACTCCGGTAACCTCACTCACACGACGAAACACAACGCAAGCGTTCTTTCACGTCGGTTTTCTGCTCGGCCGTGGTATCACACCGGTCGAGCCGGCCAATTCGTGCCGAAGCATGGCTCTCCCACACTTCAAACTGCAATCTGCACCAAGCCTGTGAACCGTAGAGATTAAGGGAACTCCTCTTAATGTAGACGAGGCACGTAGTTCCGTAGTACACTGTAACATGTTATTGTTGATGTATGATATAGAGTATGAGGTGCCCTAGTATGTATGTTGTTTATCATCACAATAAAATGCTTGTGCCGTTTATAAGACACAATAGCATTCCCATCTGTATCTCTCAATGAATACACTCGAGTAAACAAATTACTAGCTTGTCTACGCTCACAACTTTCTTTCCTAATGGTATCTGAAGAATTTAATTCAAGAAATTACTATTGTAATAAATTCTTTAGAATTTTATAGTAGGTATATTGTTTTATGTATAAGAGAATAGGTAAGTTTTATTTGAAATTTGTAATTATACGTTTTTTGTTAATTTTTTTCGTAAAATTGATAAACATTACTTTACTAAATTACTTCATTAATTAAGTAATGAATAGGAACGCCTTATTTTCCTTAATAAAAGCTCCTTTCTACATTTTAGTACATTCCATTTACATTTTACACATTTTAGTACATTCCATTTTCCAGTGAATTGGTGAAAACTCAAATAACTACGTGTCATATGTATGTTATGTTAACGTATTTACAACTAACGTATCGTAAAAATAATATAAAATAAACAAAGTTTATATTTACGCAAAGCAAAACCAAAACATAATTACTATTTGCAAACATGTCTCGTCTTAAAACAAATAATTAATAACAAACTACAGAACAAGTTTGTTTTGTCTTTGTCAGATCTTGACTTATAGTTAACTTTTAAACCAACTTATTCTAGAACTTATTTCTAAATCCTAAAAGACCTATTATTCTATATTACTTAGTAATAGTGATTCATTTATCGTAACTATCCCTCGATTATGCGCGAGAGCATATAAGCCCCTCCCGCAAAGTCACGCATGCTCAGTATAGTGGTGGTTGTGAGTCGTCTCGTGCAGCTCACGCGGGTCAGACGTGTCCTGACCGCTCGACGCAATGAAGCTGCCGGTTAGTTTCACGTGGAGTTATGTGATATTGTTAATTAGTGCAATTAATGTAATTTTATTAATCGGTGGTTAAAGAAATACTAGTTTTGAATACGGAACTTAGGATTTATCTCAGTTTGACTTGTGGACTTAGATTACATTTCTGTAAAAGCAAGAGTTCAGATGGGCGGGCGGCCCGCCCTGCCGTTTTATACTAAGATAACTTTTACAATTTAATGTTATGATATTGATTAGATAGTCTTTTCCGTGATTCATGATAACATTTTTATCAATAGAAAACCAAAAAATTACTTAAACTTTCTATTTTAATCCCTCAAACGTTGGCAATGTCAAGTAGTTTCTCAGATTTTTTCCCTGATAATAACACAATTCCTCAGATCTCGTTGGTAGTGCTAGCAGTGCTCAGCCATGCCACTGCACAGCCCGTAGCTAAGAGCTCAGACACCAAACCCAAGGACTCCAACCAGACCGACAAGAGAGAGCTCCAGGAGGGAAACTTTGGAGATCGGAAACCTAAGGAAATTGCACCTAAATTCGGTAAGTACGACTAGGGATCAAACTATGATGGCCTTAAGATAAACGAAAGCTGAAACACACATATTCATTGAATCGTTTAATTTCTTACTTTTTTATTTTGAGAAGGTAAACGGGTTTAAAGATCGATTTTAACGATGCCATCAACCATTTTAATGACAAAAAATAATAATAATACGATAGCTAAAGGGCTGATTTTGACATTTATCCGAATATTTCGCAAGTTTTAATAAAATCTCTAAACTATTCACCCAATATGTCATTGTATGTGTATGTATCCGTCAGTCTGTGATAAAAAAATACAAAATTTCGACATAAACTGAAATAGACCATGTAAAATAGCAACAGAGAAGCAACAACGCCATCTAATAACTGTCAGCTAGGGCTGTCGAAACAAAATATGCATTAATTAAATAACATCGGATACACAAACAATATGAGAACTGCAGAATAATGACAGCGATACCAGTATCGCAGTGATTTCATTGAAATATTATGCGATGGCCGACACACTATTTAATTATATTCTATTTGCATATATTCACTGACTTCCGAGCTTTCATGTGATTAATTGTGTTTGCTTTATCAATTGTTATTCGCGTATTAAAATTGAATTTCATTGTTTAGTATGCTTCGTAAACAACAGTATCTGTTACTGTAAATTGTACAATTAAATAGATATGCAATGATGCAAGAGAATATGCAGATCGTATTTTCTTTAACACGAAAAGATGTCTTCGTCAGTCTATTAATCAATACTAGCATTTGGAAGGACAATCTGATATAGCTACAACCCTGTGTCAGCGCCTTCTACTTATTCTTAAACTACCCTGGATATAAAATCTAAAATTTCTTAAAACTTCAAGATAATGAATGAAATAATGTAGTGAAGATTAGATAGATAGACAACACACTCTTGAACAGGTAGATCTTGGAATGGCATCATAGGAGTTTATGGCATGTTAAATGCTTGAGTTATGTCATGAATTCCAAAGTATTTTTTTTTAAATGAGAATGGCAATCTTAAATAAATAAATAAGCATCTATTGTATTTCATCTTACAGCTTCCAATGAAGTGCCTGCGAAACCAGACTATGAAAAACAACTGAAGGAGCTAATCGCACAACAGTCGCCCGAACAAGTGAGTCTTTTTACATAAATATTTTGCATTTTATTAACAACTTATTAACGCATTTACGTAATGATATACATAAATAAGTTGTGATGATTATTCTGCCTCGGATGTTAATTTTACATTTTTTAGAAGGTAAGAAACTAATAAAGTTACTTTCGCATTCATCATCACACATCAACAGCCTATAAATGCCCACTGCTGAGCAAAGCCTCTTCTCACACGGAGAAGGTTTGAGCATTAATCACCACTCTTGCTCAATGCGGGTTGGCGATTTACAAACTTATAATTAGAAATTATAAGTCTAGGTTCAGTCCTCACGATATTTTCCTTTCATCATTTGTCAGTGGTGTCTAGTTAATCTTAGAAAGTTCATACATATAACTCGGAAAAAGTCGTATTGGTACTTGCCGTTGGTAGGTTTCGAACTCGCACTGAGAGACGGGCGTCTTAAATATCCGGCCCACCACGACGTTCGCATTCATCTTGTCAGGTGATTCGGATAGTAACAAAATCAGATAATCAAAGCCTATCAATAGTCACAGACCAACAATCTATTGTTTGCTATTACCACATTGTAGTGGTTTTACAGTCTCTACTTACTACCGATGTATCTTGTTGTTTATTAGCTATTATTTGACTCTCTCCTACCACAGATTTAATAGTTGTACTGACAATACAGTACTATAGCTGCATGATGATGTAATCATTTCTTCATACAATTTTAGTCTATTTGTGTGGATGCATATTTATTTGGCAAGTTCAAAAACAATAATTTTTTTTATTGATTATAATCTCTCTTTAATAATCAGAACTACATATTGTATCATTGGAAATTCAGATAAATGACATAAGCATCTGTATCATTCTCTCACTGATATATTTTTAAAACTATTCGAAGTGATTCTATAGATGTATTTGCGATACTGATTTATTTTATGTTTTCACAACTGTAATTTTGCCAAACACACTTTTCCCTACGACCTCGCGACATTTAGTTGTAAGAAGCCATATTTCCCCGCTGGACACCGACCGAACAATATTAAGGAAGTAATCTTGAACATTTTGACATCCGATAAAGCAATAAAAGTTGTTGAAAGCGTTACATCATGCGAACTATTCATAAGGAAACTTTTCAAAAATGTGTGCTCAACAAAATGGCGGGCCAAGGTTTTTTATAGCCGCTCAAGTGCGGCCAAGTTTTATATTAAATTTCTTTGAACTTGGTGGCGGGGCGGTGAGGTCGTGTCGCCCTCAGCCCTCTGAGGTCAGGACGAGTGTGTGAGTGTTGTGGACTTGTTCTGTCTCGGAAATCGGATCATAATCATTCGCTCGCTTCTTGCGGATATGAAACATCAACCACTTACAAGTCTCGAAAGTAAAATAAATGCTGTTCTATAACTTCGTAACCAAGTATTTCATTTTGTAATTGGTTCAAAATTTTATTACTCTATAATATTTAATAACGTTACATTATAGCCAGTAAGATTAAAATCTTTTTCAAATTAGATATTTCGAAAATATAATGTTGATCTCTCATAAGTTTTAAAATGTTTACCGAAAAAATGACGCCACTTAATAAATAAGATCTCGAGTATTATTACAATTTGACTTTTTCATTCGCAATTATTTTGCAAAACGATGCAGATTCGACCTTGAGTTTACGTCAATATTATTATTTGTGTGTAATAATAACATTCTGAGTGATGGATAGACATCAACATAATTTTGGCATGGATACGCATTCATATAATTAGTGTTGACCTGATGAACTACGTTGTTGAGAAACTGCTATATCATTATGGGAAATCTCCTTGTACGTACCACGTTTGTGTCAACAATGTAGAAAAATTGGTATATGGGCTCAAGAATTATGTCAGTTACAAAGTTTAACTTATTATAACTTATTAAGTATGGGAGAGCCATGTTTCGGCACGGATAGATTGTCTCGATCGGAGTGAAACCACGGCCTCCCACCGATGTGAATCAACGTTGTGCGAGTAAGGATACCGAAGACCCAATTACCCACCCTCCCCAATCTCCCCAATCCCTGAATCTCCAACAATCCTCAAATTTGTAATCCCCAATAGGCCGGTAATGCACTTGTAACGACGGTGGTGTTCCGAGTGTCCATGGGCGACGCCGATTGCTTACCATCAGATGATCTGATCCGTTTACCAGCCTATCCCATAAAAAATCATCCAAAATAAAGTAATTCATAGTTAAATAGAAAGTGACAAAGTATTCCATAGCCACTATTGACTTATTGACGAATTTTCGTGAAGAATTTGAATCACATTTCCCCAATTTTTCATACTGAACGAACGAGTCCTTTTAGACATGTATTAATTTATGTTTTACACAAGACGAATGTTCATTCGGACCTCGAAAACAAATACCTAAAAGTCTTTTAAATAGCAATTCTCTTATTATAAATCAATTATGTCTATACCTAGGTATTAGTTCGGTAAAGGGATAGAATTAAATTGTCGTACTAGGGGAATTAATTACGTTTCTAATTTATGTGTGTAGTGAGGGCGATGTGTCCTCTCGAAGGGACCCTCCTCCCTCGTACAGGTACAGATACGCCCTCAATTACTCCGCTGATTGTAAATTGAACGATTTAGCCAACTAACTGGACCTGACATGGATTCTTACTTAGACAATTACTAGATTCAATGAGTACTAGTCTAATGTAGTATTGATCTCCGAATTTGTCTTTGAAATTTATGACAAAATAGTTTTGAATGGGTATTGTTCAAAAGGCTAGTGTCGAGGGATGGTTAAAAATAAATTATATATTTAGATAAGATGAAGAAAACTTATGTGACCCAGTGCAGTGGTTGCGACGGAATTTCTATGGATATTTTTTCTCTTAATAATAAGAAACACAATGAGAAACATCGGCGTAATCTTAATGTTACAGAGACTTCGCGTCATGCTTACAACACCACGTATGCATCTGTGAACAGTTGACTAACACCTCATACAGTTGACTGTTGACACACACACTAGTTATTTTCTCATCAACATAAATATTGTAACTGGGATCATCTGCAATAATGAGCATTATTTTATTACATTGAATTACACTGACATTCTGCACTCGTAACATCATTAATCCGTTTTCATCTTCTGCTTCTTTAAGAGTAGGTCATTGAATTCAATCTTCATCTCTAGATGTCCTATTCCTGTCGCGGAGAACCTAACGGGTTACCGGGGCTCCGGCTTGACGTGCAGGAGAAGGAACGGGGTTGTCTTTAGTCAGTAAGAGTCTGACACTCCCTCCCGCCTCACCCAGGCAGGAGCAGTCATTCGACGATTTTTCCCCCTTAAAAAAAACATGTCCTATTCCTAGTAACCATAATAATACCTACAATGTAAAAAAATAAATAAAAATCGTTTATTAAACACCATCTTCTTCCAATAGATGTAACAACAGTAGTCCAATGTTTACATTATTATACAATTACAGTTATATGTAAAACTAATATCATTTGTGTGAATACATTAACAATATGAAGTTGATATTCATATTCAAGTTTTACCACACGAATTTGTTAATCAAATTTTATACAAAACACGAGTTTTCTTTTCCGGACCTTCATAAGTGCAACACCAAAAGTAATTCAATATGACGTAAACAAATAAAGTCTATCGTTTAGTCTGGTTCGGCTTGTTTAGTCTATTCTATTCCATAATATTGTTCTGGGTTACCCGGTGACGCAATCCCTGAGAAGCGGGCCAATGTTGGTGGCGTACCTTCGGTCCCACCATTGTATCTCTATAATGTAATTAGGAAAAATATTTAATAAAAACTGGGACTGTAATAGTAAATTATATTGTTTGGTCGATGGAACTGTTATACACGTAGACCTATTCAATACCAGTATAAACTGACCGTTGATAATGCAGAAAGGTTATAGAAAGCGAGATCATGATATACTGGCTTGTATACCTTGATTTGTAATTGTGTACCTATCTCAATGTGTCTTGTTCCTCCTGACTTGTTATTAACTACTGGTTCTTTTGTTTTCATGGTCCATTGTTAGGGGACATGCCACGTCAGTGACTGGGGGAAAATATCACATAATACTGAGAATTTTGTAACACACTAAACCTGCCTATAATTATCATCAGTCAGCCTGGTTTCGCATAATACCACGGTCGGAATGTCGACATAAGTTGCAAGTAAAAATTCACTTTTGTCACCCAGTGTTTCTCTGGCTAAATCCTTATACGACCCTGAAATTGAACTCGAGGCTTTAAAAATGACAATCATCATTTACTACTATGATCTAATTCGTGTACAAAACCGAAATCATTGTTTTCAATCTATCTTTATATCAAACAATTAAAAAATTGCACTCAATTAAATAGTACAACTTCATAATTGTCCGTCTAATATATTAATCCCCAAATAATATTGACTGACATATCATATCACATGTCTATCACACTACAATATCATACCCGACTGCTAATTACATGATCATTTGCAAGATAATTAAAATTGACAATACTTTGCTAAGTACGAAAGCAATAGCAAGCGTCACGTAATTGGACTAGGCCAAGGTCGCACTAGTGGCAAGCTTAAGGCGCGTTCACTCGCACTTGCTTTAGCATCAAGTTAACAAAAAAAGTTAACATATTTTACGTTATTTCATTAATTGTTGTGCTTTTTGTTATTGTTGACAGATGAGCTTAAAGTAAAAGCTATGAAAACTATTCAAATAATCATTTAGGAAAGATTCCATTTTTATAGAATATCTTAAGATAACCCCAATCGTATATTCTGTATATTGACGTTAATTATGCCACTTACGTAAACAGCCTTTCAACAGAGAGGTAGAATTATATAGACAGAGAAAACTATAAAACGAAATCACAGACCCTAGTAATAGTTTCTTTGACACCGTTATGGCGAAGTAACTATAAAAACATTAATTAGAATATTTTTGCGTAGGAAATGACATATTCTTATCTCAAATATTTGCATTATATTAATT